GGAGAGCTGAGCCTTCAATTATTAATATGTGCCCAAGGAGAGCTGAACTTTCAGTTCTTACTAAGTAGCCAAGGAGAGCTGAGCCTTCAATTATTAATATGTGCCCAAGGAGAGCTGAACTTTCAGTTCTTACTAAGTAGCCAAGGAGAGCTGAGCCTTCAATTATTAATATGTGCCCAAGGAGAGGTGAACTTTCAGTTCTTACTAAGTAGCCAAGGAGAGCTGAGCCTTCAATTATTAATACGTGCCCAAGGAGAGCTGAACTTTCAGTTCTTACTAAGTAGCCAAGGAGAGCTGAGCCTTCAATTATTAATACGTGCCCAAGGAGAGCCGAACTTTCAGTTCTTACTGCGTAGCCAAGGAGAGCTGAACCTTCAATTTTTAATACGTGGCCAAGGAGAGCTGAACTTTCAGTTCTTACTACTTAGCCAAGGAGAGCTGAACCTTTAGTTCTTATTACCTGTCCAAGGAGAGCTGAACCTTTAGTTCTTAATACGTGGCCAAGGAGAGCTGAACATCCAGTTCTTATTACCTGGCTAAGGAGAGCTGAACCTTTAGTTCTTATTACCTGGCCAAGGAGAGCTGAACCTTCAGTTCTTATTACATGGCCAAGGAGAGCTGAACCTTTAGTTCTTATTACCTGGTCAAGAAGAGCTGAACCTTCAGTTCTTACTACGTGTCCAAGGAGAGCTGACTCTCCAGTTCTTATTACTTGGCCAAGAAGAGCTGAACCATCAGTTCTTAATACCTAGCCAAGGAGAGCTGGGCCTTCAGTTCTGATTACCTGGCCAAGGTGAGCTGAACCTTCAGTTCTTATTACCTGTCCAAGGTGAGCTGAACCTTCAGTTCTTATTACATGGCCAAGGAGAGCTGAACCTCCAGTTCTTATTACCTGGCTAAGGAGAGCTGAACCTTCAGTTCTTAATACGTGGCCAAGAAGAGCTGAACCTTCAGTTCTCAGTTCATCATCACATGGAAGTGATTCGTTTCACAATTCAAGTAGAAACATTGAATATTTTATAATATAAATAATTTTTAAGAATATTTTGTATTAATTACCGCTAATTTAAATCTCAACAAGGAGTGAAGTCTTCTAACGTTGTTTTTCGGGTTTCGAGTATTTGTTTCACGGAAACGGGGAACCGAGTCACCACTCTTAGTTTCCCGGAGAACTGAACTCACTGTTTCTGTTAGGCCTGATTCCACAGGTGTTGGTCGTTTGTTGTTTCCTAATAAAACAAAAACAAGTACAGTAGACATTAAAACTGGGGGGGGGGACTTCTATGAGAAGTATGTAATAAGTATCCAAGTCAGCGGCGGGTCGATCACATCTCCTACTTTGCCCCAATATATGTATAAGACATATATTGGGGCAAAGTATGTATGAGACATACTTACAGTCATACAACCAGCCTTAAGTACCATAAACAAACAAACAGAACTATCAGTAATAATTTTAAAAAATGTTTCCGATGGGACACGTCCCTGGATCCCCTCAGTATGATTTCACTTCTCATTTCCTTTTTTGTTTTTCCCATAAAGTAGTACCCATTTACATTTTGCTGCCTACACCCAAATCCCCCTTATAGATTTATTTTTACGCCCCTGCAATCTCCCCACCAAATTAAGAGAGAGGATATAACAAAATAACACTGTCTTTAATACAGTGACATCATACATAATAGTTGTAAACTTACACTGTACGACACACGTTACCTTGGTAACTTACACTGCACAACACACATTCACTTGATAAACTTACACTGTACGACACACGTTCACTTGGTAACTTACAATGTACGACACACGTTACCATGGTAACTCACACTGTACGACACACGTTCACTTGGTAAACTTACACTGTACGACACACGTTCACTTGGTAAACTTACACTGTACGACACACGTTGCATTGGTAACTTACTCTGTATGTGAAACACAAATGATATTCCTGTTTACTCTGTACTACACACGTTACCTTGGTAACTTACACTGTACCACACACGTTACCTTGGTAACTCACACTGTGCGACACAAGTTACCTTGGTAACTTACACTGTACGACACGCGTTGCCTTGGTAACTTACTCTGTATGTGAAACACAAATGATATTCCTGTTTACTCTGTACTACACACGTTACCTTGGTAACTTACACTGTATGGCACATGTTCCCTTGGTGGACTTACACTGTACGATACACGTTCCCTCGATAACTTACTCTGTACGACACGCGTTGCTTTGGTAAGTTACACTGTATGTAAAACACAAATGATATTCCTGTTTATTTGCACAACACAAATTACTTACCAATTTACAAAGTGTGGTACGTGTTACTTCGTTACTTGTATTACGCGATACAAGTGATCTTGTTGTTTTCATTGAGTGTTAAAAATGAACTTACAACTCCCACTGTGCTGGAAAAATTATCTTGTAGCTTTACTCTGTGTAACGTAAATAAACGTTTAATTCAGAATGTGCGATGCAAGTGATTTTATAGCTTACATTATTCAATGCAAAAGATCTTGCAACTCTGCAGCAAAAAGTATTTTGTACGATATACCATAGATATACCATGGATATACCATAGATATACCATGGATATACCATAGATATACCATGGATATACCATAGATATACCATGGCCCTACCATAGATATACCATGGATATACCATAGATATACTATGGCCCGATACCTTATTTTCGTGGCACAAATTACCCCTTATCTTAATCTGTATGACACAAACGAACCTGTTTCTTTTATATATCACACAGATGACCCGGCACCCTGACCAATGTAACATAGAAACCTCTTTGTACTTTAACCTGCGTGACACAAACGATCTTGTATTTTACCTTGTGTGACACAAATTATCTTGTGTTTCACCTTGTGTGACACAAATTATCTTGTGTTTCACCTTGTGTGACACAAATTATCTTGTGTTTCACCTTGTGTGACCCAAATTATCTTGTATTTCACCTTGTGTGACACAAATTATCTTGTGTTTCACCTTGTGTGACACAAACGATCTTGTATTTTACCTTGTGTGACACAAATTATCTTGTATTTCACCTTGTGTGACACAAATTATCTTGTAACACATATACTGTGATGCAAGATATTCTTGTAATACATAAACTGTAAGACAAAATATTTTTGTAACAGATATACTGCGATATAAAATGTTCTATAACACATACATTGTGAGACAAAATATCTCAAGTACGGTAGTACGTGATAGTAGGGATCGACAAGGATTCCAAATAATTCACGTGCCGAAAAACCACCCCAGCGAAATCCTAAGCGAAAAACCGACCATTCAAAGTATTTATTGGTTACGATATATTATGCGCATATATACTACTAATAATTTTTTGTCTACTTACTACCTACCTGATCACGTCAGCAAGGCTAGCCCATAGATGGCTCGGACTATCGCTATATGATTTCTCCAACCTACTTGACTGGTCTGTGGGTATCCGCTTTTAATATTCCAACAAAAATCAATGTATATACAGGTATAATATAAATGGTAAACATATAACATATAACGTATTTAAATACCATTTCAACCCAACAGATGGCGCTACATATCGATGGATAAACACGCAACAGTTTCTAAAGGTAAAGTATATACTTGATACAGGTATAACATAAAAAGTAAACAAATAAGAGTATTAAAATAATGAATTTTAAAATAAAGTAGAAATCCTGCTACAAAAAGTAATGAAACAAAAATTTAAACCACAATTCCAAATTTATAACACTTAATCCCTACTTTGGCAGCTTTATACACTTATCTGTAGGTCAAAGTAAGGATTAAATTTATACATTTGTGATTGTGGTTTTAATTCTTGTTTCATTAATTTTTATAGCAGAATCCCTACATCATTTTGAAATTAATAATTCTTTAATATTTTTGTTCTTATAATACATATACCGTGAGACACAATATTCTCATATCACATACACTGAGACAACATTTTAGTAACATACTATTAGGTGAATAATGGTTGGAGACGGCTTGAATGGGTAATAACGGCTTGAAAACTTTAATATAAGTTTAACATAATGATGATGACAAAACATTGTCGAAAAGTTCTACGTTTGCTGTTATGTTAAACTTATATTAAAGTTTTTCTTCATTCAAGCTGTCTCCAACCATTATTAGTCTCTAAGTGGGTTCCTCATCATCGAATTTGAATACTATTAGGTGAATTAAACAATCGTATAGCAGGTACTACAATATTATTTTTTAACAATCAATATCTAAAATTATTCATACCATAACTATGCTTTTTCATTGTTGCCTTAGTCCTGTAAGTTGAACAGGGTTGTTTTGGTGATGGAGGCCTATGCAAGTTCGGTGAAAGTAGGCTTATGGATTTGGAAGAAACTGAATGATCCTTTTTTCCTGATTGACCTTTGACATCCGTTGCTTTAGAAACCAATGTGTGATCGTCACAATAATTCTCTCTGCACGTTATAATGTTTCTGTTTGAAATATAAAAAGTCTTTAAATAATTAAATTATCGTATATTTGATGCTACTTACTCGACATTTTGAATCTTCGTAAGGTTACAGGAGTGAAACGTAGCCATATTTGGTTTATTCACAAAATAGAATGTGTGTGTAGAAAAGGGTTCAAAGACTGTTCTGAGAAATGGTTGTAACGACCTTGAAACGAGTAGAATTTATGACACAAATGTTTTCATCATAATTCTTCTTTATTGATAGGCCCAATAGACTGTGGAGCTGTGGTTCTATGGCTCGCATCCCGGTACCAAATAAACGTGCTCCGCACTTTGGAGCTGTGGATGCATTATAAGAGTAAAGGTCATTTCCCACTATTCGGTCTGACAAGAGTTTGTGTTGACCAGCTGCCTTTACTTTAGTCTATTACAGTTTGTGTTGACCAGCTGCCTTTACTTTAGTTTATCACAGTTTATGTTGACCAGCTGCCTTTACTTTAGTCTATTACAGTTTGTGTTGACCAGCTGGATTTACTTTAGTCTATTACAGTTTATGTTGACCAGCTGCCTTTACTTTAGTCTATTACAGTTTGTGTTGACCAGCTGCCTTTACTTTAGTTTATCACAGTTTATGTTGACCAGCTGCCTTTACTTTAGTCTATTACAGTTTGTGTTGACCAGCTGCCTTTACTTTAGTCTATCACAGTTTGTGTTGACCAACTGCCTTTACTTTACTCTGTCACAGTTTGTGTTGACCAGCTGTCTTTACGTTAGTCTATTACAGTTTGTGTTGACCAGCTGCCTTTACTTTAGTTTATCTCAGCTAAACTAGAGACGGATAGCGCAGATGGCCCTTGAGCAGCTTTGTGTGAAATCATACAAACAATCACAACTTCACTCTTCCTAGGGAACGCATCATGCGAATAGTAAAAAAATAAAAACTATCCCCTGAATACAGAAGGTGGCTCTTTTGTTTACGTTTTTATCCTTTTTTAACGTGGCTGAAATAACCTTGACCTTGATGTGTATCGAACTTGAGCTTACCCATGAAAATGCCAAAGGGAACCAAGCGCTCCCAACTAATAAACGTATCGGAACAGAGGAGTAGGAGGATCCCGGGTTCGAGACGTAGTGCTATGAAATAAGCTTCGCCCTTTCAACTGCGAGTGATTTACGAGAGCGACATCCAATATGTCTATTCGGCTTATTGTCTTGTCCTTAGTCAGTTCAAAGTTAGAGGTCTCTGACCTGGCCGTTTAGCCCATTGTGTGCATCAGATATCGGCCAAATGAACATCGAAGTTTTTGGATGCCGTTATTTCCTCGGGTTATTCCCGTCTGATTGAAAAGTGGGATTTGACTGTCCCTCTTATAACACATCCACAGAGTGCAATGGGACGAGAACTGAACATTTTCGGGCACGCTAACAAGGCCACGCCCAGCCCTTTAAGATAAAGACATTTTAATATGTCTATATTGTGGTAAAGTAAGATTTATGAATTTCAGTCTATGTATTCATTTTTTTTTGTTTCTCATCGATAAGGGAGATACATTAATAATTCTCTGCATGCATGTTACTCTTTACATGTGCGTGCATTTCATGGACAGGTGAAACGTAGAGCAGACCCTTACCAATTTCATAAGTTGGGCGGGGGATCATTCGGCTACCTTTAAAAGGAAACTTATCAGTTCGTAAGAGTCGTTAATCACAGGATTTTGAAATTTTCTGTGAGCTGCAACCCAATATACTTGAAAGCGATTATGTACCTTGAATTACAACTTACAACCAGCTTTTTAGATTTAATAAATGTAGATTTATTACAGTCTTATAATCAGAAGGAAAAGAAAAAAACCAAGAAATCTTTTCTTGGAATCCACGTCATGTAGTGGCACTAAATGAGAGGTGGGAAACTTTTACATTCCCCAAATAAGAATGGGCAAACGTCATACTCCCCTACTAAAAATGGGTAAATGCCATACTCCCCAAATAAGAAGTTGGTAAGCGTCACATTCCCCTAACAGGAAGTAGTTAAATGCTACATCTTCCAAAATAACAAGTGAATAAATATCACATTCTCAATAAGAAGTGTGTGAAAACCATACTCCCAGTGTGTAATGCAGTTTTAGGTTCACTCTCGCCTCCACTGCTGATTGTTATCTGTGTTTCAATATTGAAATTAAAAAGTGGTTTCTCTAACGTTTTTGACCTTTATTGTGATATTAAACTTCTCTTAGAATCCCCTTGACCTTTCAACTATCCTTCATACGAGATCCTTGACATAAACTATAACAGTGAATTTTAGGACCTCACAAGTATGTCCACATGCTTCTCGTGATGGTCATCACTAGCCATAGGTCAGTTTTAACCTAGTAGCCGTGTTGAGCAATGTGTAATTAAAATGATCAAGGTATATTAATCTAGCTGGTACAGTTGTCAAACCCTAGTTTGGGTTAATGGTACTTTCTTATTTACTGTATGTTTAACCACTTCGAAAAGAATAACTACAAAATAGTTACCACTGTTCATTTCTCTTGATCTCAAACAGATGTGAAACTCCTGTTCTTAAAGTGATGAATGGATGTTTAGATTTCTTTAGAAACATAAAACAATGACATTTTCACGTTTGGAACTGTGGCAGTACCCAGATTTACAACATTAGGAACTGTGGCAATACTCAGATTTACATTTGGAACTGTGGCAATACCCAGATTTACAACATTAGGAACTGTGTCAATACTCAGATTTACAACATTTGGAACTGTGGCAGTACCCAGATTTACAACATTTGGAATTGTGTCAATACCCAGATTTACAACATTAGGAACTGTGTCAATACTCAGATTTACAACATTTGGAACTGTGTCAATACCCAGATTTACAACATTTGGAACTGTGGGAATACCAGATTTACAACATTTGGAATTGTGGCAATACTCAGTTTTACAACATTTGGAACTATGGGAATACCAGATTTGCAACACTTGGAACTGTTTCAATACTTTTGGAATTATATTTAAAATGACCAACAAATTTAGTATTGTTTCGCATTTATTACACTGTTCACACATCATCACGAAAAGTGGGAATATCGTACTCCCAGTATTAGACACTTCCCCCCTCTCTACTTCTCGGCCCTAACGGAACACGAGCCATAAAGCCACGCCTGACCAGAAGTTTTTACTCAAATGTATGGCAGATAAACTTCGAGTGTTAGTGATCAGGGACTTTTCAAACTTTTGGACAGTTCCAAATGTTGTAAATCTGAGTATTGACACAGTTCCTAATGTTGTAAATCTGGTATTCCCACAGTTCCAAATGTTGTAAAACTGGGTATTGACACAGTTCCAAATGTTGAAATCTGGGTATTGACACAGTTCCAAATGTTGAAATCTGGGTATTGCCACAGTTCCAAATGTTGTAAATCTGAACGTTAGAAAACGATTACCATGAAATAAGTTAAGGAAACGAAATATAGAAATACCAAAAAGCACAAAAGAGCATGAATATATTAAATCGTCTTAGTTGCACGAGAGTTCCAGAAATTTTCACGACAATTTTACGAAGTAGGTTTTCGTGACCGAGGTAACTCAGCGCGGTCTTTTTTGTTTTTTAATTTTCGCGTTTTCCAAGATCGTGTCTAAGTTATATTCTCGTGGAGATAACCGAGAACAAAAATCTCTTAAGAAAGTGAAACAAGGAAATTTTTCTTACAGAACGGTTTTCAGGTACCTGAACCTTGAACAATTTACTATAATTGGCTTTATCGAAGGACTTGGTCTGGAAATGCAAACGCTACCAGCTTGAATTCCCAGTCACGAATAACTTAGTATTTCAACGTAGCCCAAGTAATAAAGACAGCGATATTGTACTCCAATGTTATATAACACGGCGGAAAAAAGAAAGAAAAAAGAAACACGTTAAACAGTCAGTCATTATCGCTGCAGCTTGAAACATTATTGTTGTGTCAAAAAACGAGAACAATACAATTTGACTTCTTCATTAAGGTCATTCTCCAGATCAAAGGTCGCATCCCTCCCTCTCTCTCTTTTACACACACACACTGTCCACATCTTTAAACTAACATTTGAGGAATGTTTATTAAGACAGGTTTATCTAGTGTTTGAAATAGAACGGGGGAAAAGCATTCTAACTTTGATTGAAGTATTTCAAAGGTCAAGGTCAGTGTGAAGGTCAATATTATAGATATTTTAAAGGTTTGTGGCATATGTGACAGAAATGTGTTTTTAAATGAGTATGTAGTTAGGCATCATGTAAACATGAGTATGATGTTTGCTATCGTATCAACATGATATGTAGTTAGGGATCATGTAAACACGAGTATGATGTTTGCTATCGTATCAACATGATATGTAGTTAGGGATCATGTAAACACGAGTATGATGTTTGCTATCGTATCAACATGAATATGTAGTTAGGCATCATGTAAACAC